AAGTTCAGAGCCCCGTAGTAATGAAAAGGGATCCTGGTTTTCCCTGATAATAAACTGCAATTCTCTGATAAAACTCCTCAAATCCATGATTAAAATGTCCGTCCGTCCGTTTCCCCACCCCGCCCAATCCCGATGGTGCCCCTCACTCACTCCCTGCAATGCCCTGGCCCTGCTGGTACCCTGCACTCCCCCACTCCCCACAGCCCCCTGGTACATCTCACTCCCCACAATAACCCCCCAGCCCTGCTGGTGCCCCTCAACCTCCACCCACAGCTCCTGCTTCCCCAGCACTGCCAGGGGGGCTCCCAGCTGCCAGGGCTAAGGGGCCAGGGACCCAGGTCCACAGCCCCCTGCCCCGGCCAGAGGCAGCAGCTGCTGTAGTGAAGCCTGCTGCAGGCTTGGGGGGCAAGGGAGGAGGTTGCTCCCCAATACAGTGCGCGCTCCAGGGGCAAGGCGGGGGACACGACCCATGCCTCCCACCTTTGTGAGCGGGGCAGGGGCTGCAGGCTCCTGTCCTGCTGTGCTCCCCTGGTGCCTGCACAGCCCAGCGTGTGCAAAGAACAACGAAGCCACGCAGGAAGCTGCCTGCCACTGAGAGCTGTGCGCTGCCCTGGCGAGGTGTCCCTGGCCTGCGCAGCTGCAGCAGAAGCAACAGGACGGGGCTGCATGTACTGTGGGCAGTGCAGAGCTCACAGCAGCAAGCAGCTTCCTGCACAGCTCCGCTGTTCCCAGCAGTGCCGGGTCTCACACACTGGGCTGCAGAGACCCCAGGGGAGGGCAGCAAGGTGGGGAGCACAAGCCTGAAGTAGGCAGCGGACAGCAAGGCACACAGATCCGGGGGGTACAGATCACCTACCCCCAAGGAGTGCATGCAGTAGCAGGGAGCAGCCTCCCAACCCGAGCCCACAGTGCACAGCTCCCACCTCACGCACAGATCTGGCAGGCACGGGTTCCTCCTTGCCCCCTCTGGGAACGTGTGCAGCACGGAGCTGGCCCCAACCCCCCGATGAGCCACTTGCAGCCACATCCTGCTCCCTGCTGGGGTCCTGTGGCTGCTTACTGCAGCCCTGGGCCACATGCCCCAGCCCCACTCAATTCCCTCCCTCCCTATGGGGGCCTCAATAAGAGCCCCTACCAACTTAGCTGTGGGAGGTGCTCTCCAAGATGCCTGGCAGCCATGTGCTGCCCTCCTCCCACTCCCCCCGCCACTCCCCTGCAGGGAGCTCATCACAAAAGTGCAAAATCCATGTGTTTCTCCAGTACAATGAAAAATCTGCATTTGCCTCTGGTAAAAAGTAAAATCCGTGGTTTACTCCGTTTTTTCCACGGGAAGTGGAAAATCCAGATCCCTGGTAATGAATGCAAAATATCTCCCACTCCCTCAAGACTTTTGGCACCCTGCTTCTTTTTATCTAGGAATTATCAAAGACAGATATTTAGAGTTATTTACCAACCATGCCTTAAATAAAAGCATTTTTGTAAAGCATGTAGAGCACTACTAAGAGTCTGTGTTCCCTCATCTTGTAGCAAGTCAGATTTATATATGGTACAAGTAAAAACCTAATTTAAATCTGAAATAACTGGCAGAACATCCTAATTCATCTAAACCATTAAGGCTTACAGAAAAACTAGTATCCCCCCTGCAAACAGAAAAATGTACTTAAAACAAAGAGGCAGTATATGGAGGATCAGTTAAAAATTATTTAAAACTCCCTCAAGCATCACTTCTACACTATCCTAGTCAATTAACAGTTTCTTTTTAAAATAGAAAAGCCCAGGATGCATTTTGAAATCATCTGTCATGCTCTTTGAGACTTACAGAGCAGTATAAATGAATACATACATATGGGATGTTATCTTCTTCATTGTTTATGCAACTATAAAAATAGAGAACCGAAGCGCAAGTCTGCTAGGGAGACTGTACAAGATTCAGATTTCATGTTTTTAAATATTTACCATATTTACTCAAATCCAAGATGAGGTTCTCTTTCCCACATTCAATGTGTGGGAAGAAAGGGTCCTCATCCTGGATTCAAGTGCAAGGTGGGGGGGGGAGGCAGGGGGTGGCTGCAACCCTGACTCAGGCTCAGTCAGAGCTGCAGCCTCTGCCCTCCACCTGTCCTGGGCCACCACTTACCTTCAGTTGCGGCTTCAGCTCCAAACCCTATCAGGTAGCAGCAGTAGCAGTGGTGGAAGCAGATCTGCCCCCAGCTCCGATTCTGACCTGGTCCTAGGGCTAGAGCTGCTGTCACCACAACCACTGCTACCTGGCAGGATAGGGGCTAGAGTCACCATGTCCCCAGTGCCATGAGACTGAAGCCAGAACCACAACTAAGGGCAAGTGGGGGGCGGGGGGAAGAGAAGCAGCCCAAGGGGTGTGGTTCAAGCTACTTTATTTCCCTACTGCCTATGTTCCCAAATCGCCTGCCCCTCCCCCGCGTCAGTGCGGGTGACGAATTTGGGGCAACCCCCTAAAAAATTGATTGTATACATGAAAAATTATAACACTTATAAATTTTCCATTTACAGAATCTAATAATTGTGGGGTCATTTTAAACTCAAAAGTAATCTTGGATTCAGGTAAATACAGTAACAAAGGTTGGTGGTGTTCTTCTAGAGCCTTGAAGTTGGGCTGGGGTTCAAACTGAAAGTAACAATATATACATTTTCTTTTATTTAATAGCAAAATGTTACCACTTCTTTTTATATAAAAAAAATAAAAAAAGCACATGCATTTCTATCTCAGTTATTGTTAGCAAACATCTAAAGAAACCTTCATTCATACCGATGTGCACAAAAGCCTGTACTCAATGCTACTACTAGTAGCAATTGTATTTGTAATGATTAGGGATCTTGGTTTTCTCCAATTTTAAAAAATCCCCAATTTTCAGATTAAAAAAGTAATCCCAAATCCACATTTTTCCACGATTTAAATGAAACTCCACTAATATCTAAATCTGTATCAGTGGCAGATCTTGGAGCCTCTTGCGGTAGATCTCAGAGCCTTTTGGAGTCTATCCAAGGCTGGGGTGGGGGGGGGCTGAGTGCCTGCATGCATGCAAGCGTGTGCCCCAGCCCAGCAGATCAGTCCATGAGGGAGGGGAGGGAAGGGGCGGGGGCTAGACTGAGGCCCCTACAGTAAGGGTCAGTGCTGCAGAGGCAGGAGCAGGGGTAAGTTGAGTGGGGCCCTGGCTGGGTGGGACTTACCTGCTGGGGAGGTGCACCGCCAAACAATTTTTTCTCCCTCTGCCTCCCCCGTCCCTCCTCACAGACTTACCTGCTGGGCAGGGGGTGGTGGCACATGGTAGACCTTGGGTTGCTTTTAAGTGCAAGTAGGTGATCTCCTACTTAAAAAGGCTGGAGACCACTGATCTATATATTAGTAGTGTTTCATTTAAATCATGGAAAATGTGGATTTGAAGTTACTTTTTTTAAACTGAAAATGGGGGATTTTTTTTTAAATCGGACAAAACCAGGATCCCTGATAATGATGTTTAGTTTTGGGGTTATATCTATATTTTCTTATATGTAAGCATGCTCCAGGCTTAACACATCCTTCATGAAAAATATGAAAAATAAACCAAAAGTATTATATACAATGGAACTTATATGAGCCCTGTTACCATAGTATCCAAGGACCTCAAAAACATTAATTTATCTTCACTGAATCTCTGAAGGAGAGGATCCCTTAAAAATGGGAAAAACTGACACAAAAACAACTTCACAATTTGCTCATAGTAACACAAGAAGTCTGACTGAATAGAGAGCTTAGCACAAGTTTTCCACTATTACCTTCATGCCCAAACTGTCTTTCCTTTTGAACATACACACACATCTTTCTCTGAAGGCAAATGTCAAGCAAAAATGATGAAATGTTAAGATTGTTCATATATTAAAATAAATTCTTGTCATAATTCTGCACTATGCTGTTATCATGACAAATGAGAAGTGACAAAATGAAATCTACTTAACAGCACTGTTAGCAATGCAACCTTATTACAAGTATGTTTTCTGAAAGACATTCCAGGAACAGTTATAACTGTACCAGAACTGTTTCTTTATAACAAAAAGAATACACCTCATGCTCATTAAGATTGCAGTAATTAAACCAAAATGACTCTGTTACTTTTGTCAATAGTTTATTTATACAAGATAGGTCAGCTGCAACATCTTTGAAAAAGCTGACTCAAAGTTCCTATGTAGATGTTCTACAAAAAGGATGTGGATTAGGGAAAAAATATTGTCTTAAAATCTGAATTTAAAGCTTATGATCAAAGAAACATAAAATACTAGGGTTAGAAGGGATCTCGCCGGGGTCATCTAGTCCAACCTCCTGTTCAAGGGAGGATTTTTCTTAACTAATAAGAAATAAATTAATAAAGTGCCAAGTATTTAACTAAGCTTCTCTTAAAAACTTCCAAAGATGAAGATTCATAGCCTCGCTGGGCAGGCTGTTCCAGTGCTTAACCACCCTCAGTCAGAAAGTTCTTCCTAGTATCCAACCTTAAAATTTCTTCCTGCTGCAATTTGAGACCATTGCTCTTAGTCCTGTGCCAACACCACAGAGAATAGTCTGATCTACGCTATCTTTATAACCATCCTTCAGATATTTGAAGACTGTTTCCAAAACCCCTACAGTCTTTTCTCCAGACAAAACAATCCTAGTTCTTTCAGTTTTTCCTCGTATGTCAGGTTTCCCAGGCCTCTAATGATTTTTGTCTGGACTCCTAGTTTGTCCACAACTTTCTTGAAACAAGGGGCCCAAAACTGGACACAGTATTCCAGGTGTGGCCTCAGTGTCAAATAGAGCAGGAAAATGACTTCTCTTGATTTCCAATTAATGTTCCTATGAAAAAAACCCATTATGTTATTGGCCTTTTTTGTAACAAGAGCTCATATTCAGCTTATGGTCCACTGTAACTACTAGGACCTTTTCTGCACTACTGCAGCTGAGCAAGTGATTACCTAGTCAGACGTAATCCTCTACACTTCCAACTTACCACAGTTTTGAAGTCTTTATCGGCTTCATCGAATTTTCCTTGCTTAAGTAATAAGTGTCCTCTTTGTAATCTTGCCTGAAATAAAACAGTGACCAGTTTTGTATTTTACAAATAAGTATTGGTAATCAAAGGAAATCAAGCCAAGCTTTCTATAAACCTACTAGGATGGCATTTTTTTTCATCCCATCCACATCTAACAAACTGAAACAGAAGCAGTCATAATAGCACCTACTCTATTCCTCCCTTTCCTGTGCCTCATTCCCAAATGAAACAACTTTGTTGGAAAAAAAATGTTGATTGTTAATGGCAGGTTCTATCGCTGCATACAAAACTATGGCTCCAGCGAACTTTATTCAGCAAAGCAAGCATTTAGCTGTTAAGACAGCACTTCTACATTCAGGCTTCATTAATCTATGGCTTTTTGATGGGCTGTAGCAAAAGGAAACTCCCTGTCCTTAACGCTGAGTCTTCAGCAACAGAATTCTTATTAAGTTTTCAGTTTAATGCATATTATTTTGACAGCTAGAGGGCATGTCTACACGTGCTATGAAGGTGGTTTGAGCCAGAGTTTATTGCTCCTGAGTGTGCCATTTGCACATGTGCCCAGGGCTGCAGCACATTGAGCTGAGGCACAGCAGAGCTGCTCCAACCCAGCTCAATGTGCTGGAGGGGGGCTGGCTGGGGTACAGGGGTGCTTCAGTGGGGGGGCTAGCCAGCAGGCAGCCCCCACACTGAAGCATCCTTGTGCTCCAGCCACCCCACCAGTGCTTGCACATACATTGTGGTGGCGTAAATAACTCCACCGTAGAACAGTACTTGTGTCTGGCAGTACTATCCTACAGTGGGGTTAATTAGTTTACTCTGTCCTAATAGCACCACACACGTAGATGGTGACATTGTACTGCAGAGCCTAGTGGGAAACTCCGCAATAAGTGTCTCGTGTAGGCATGGCCATTGACTGAAATTTGGAGAGTTTAGGATAAAGAAAATTATATTAAATGCCAATTAAGAACTGCAACCACCCGTTCTTGAATAAACTAGATTAAGTGAAATCCAATGACAAGACAAATGTATTGCTAATAAAACTGTTCAACTCCCAAGACTGGTGTAAAAACAGTTTTTATGTATCCAATTCTGTGAGGAAAGGAAAGGGAGATAAATTCTTTTCCTATGCTGACTGGAATAAGGTCACTTACAAGTAGTTCATTTTGTGGCAAAAATCCATTTAATGTCTTAGAAGAAAGAAATTGCCAAATTTGTCATGACAACAAGTATGATGTAAACTCAATTTTGCTACCTAAAGTAGTCAATCTTTACTGTTCAAATTGAGTGCAACTCAATCCTTTCTGGGTATTTATTTTAAAACCCAAGGAGATGTTGCTCAGAAAAAAAGTTGGAGGAGAAAGGAATGAGGCAGGGATGTTAATTATCTTGGAAAAATGCCCAATGGTAATTTCAGCTTTATGAATCTCCCAAAAACTACCCTGTAACAGCTTGTGGTAAGCTTGGTGGTAATCCTAGAAAAATCATTCATTTCTTGATTGGCAACTAATTTTACTGCACATGTGACTCCTGTGATATACCACACACCTTTAGAAATGCTAGCAGAGGATATGGATTTGCTAACTGTATTTTAGGTACAGAAACAAGAGTTAGAGTGAAAGAAGACTAGTGCATTCCTCTGCCAATGAAGGAGCATTCTGTCCTTCCTCATTTTAAATGCTTAAGTCAGGGTTCTTAAAAAGTTTTCTTTTTTATACTATGAGCTAAAAAAAGAATATTTTTTTAAACAAAACACGATTTTATTTTACCCTGAAGGAATCCTGATTCTACAAATCCAGCATTACTTACTGATGTGAAATCCTGCTTAAGTTCAACCACTTTACTTAAATCACGAATTGCAGCTTTAGATTTGCCCATGGCTAAATACACTGTGGCTCTTCTGTAATAGGCAATGTAGTTATCAGAATCACCCTCTGCAAGTGAAGAAATAGAAATGAGAAAACTGCCTCAAAGCAATTCAAAGTTAGGATACAGCTAAGTTATAATAAGAATAAAAAGTAGAGTTACTTGAATTTTAAGCAAGTAGCAAAGGAACATTTGCACAAAGTAATAGTGTTACATCTCATCTTCCTTATGTTGACCTTAATCAGTACAGAGATATGAAGATGGCAACACTGCTAATAATTAGGAGTTTTGAAGGTGATTGTGCACTGCTATTTCAGTTCTGGAGTAAAATTAAGCCACTGCATACTACTAAACTGTTACCACAAACTACAAGCTTACTTTTGGACGCGTGTTAACTCTTTCATTCTTCATTATGGTTTGCATAAATCACATCAGATGCACACAAATAAGTTAATATAAATAATTACCCCAAATGACCAATATTTTAGTTAGCAGAGTGTTTTCACCAATTCATAAGCTCCTTACCCTTTACATGCAGGTAGCAAAAACTTTGCATTTCATTTTAACAACAGTTGCACCAGACCCTTATTTAAGTCTCAGTGGCAAAAGTAAATTGTTCAGTGATGCTGAAGCTGGAGTGATTACACAGCCTAGCGCAAGGTTAAAGCATCCTAAAAATAAAAATAAGTGACTAGGCAACTCTTCTCCAACACTCTTTGTCACCACTGTTCTTTAGGTTTCTCTTGCTTCTTGCTAGAATCCCATTTTAGTGTAGAAATCCTGACCAGAAATCCACAATAGTCCAAAGGAGTTTCTGAACATGGTACCCTAAAGGTACACACAGAAAGAATATGGTGCTCTTAATTCCAAGATGAAAATAACAATGATGAGACCGCAGCTAAACTGTCCATCAGGCTACTCACTGGACAATAATGTCTTCTAGTTTAAAAGTGTATGTAACTTTGTAGTGCATTATTAGAACTTATATAAAAAGTTTAGAGATGGGAATGTATGTATTTGTAACAAAAAAAAGATGGGTTTATTCCTCACTTAGTAAGTCTTACAGGTTAAGCTTAAAGTCTAACAAATTAAACAGAACATCCTGAGAAATTTCCGTATGTAGCTGTGCTTCACAGTTAGTAACCTTACTAGATGGAAATGTTCTCAGTTCCCTTGTACAATCATCTGCCTACTAAGTAGAAAAATGCCAGCGATCGAACGGGTAATAACTTTCCCTGACACTGCATGATGCCACTCCCTAAACAAGTACTATGGCTTCCCAAATCTATTTTTACTATCCAAAACTGAAGCTTCGCTAACTAACATTTACAGTTACTAAGTACTACTCCACAGAACACATGCATATCCTTAAGCCTATTCGAGCTAATACAGCCTTAGGCAGTCTATAAATGAACAGCTCTTATACCCAGCAGAGTAAGTTGTTTATCAATGAACACACAAACTCTTAAGGATTAAAACAACCAAGGTGCAAGAAAGCTGACCCAAGAGAGCTGATAACAAGTGTGTTCCACCACCAGATGCTGATCTTATAGCAGGTAGAACATGGTTTTCCCTCAGAGCTCCCCAGTAACAGCAATGAACAGCGTCCCATATCTACACAGAGAAAATTCACAGCCCATCAGTCACACAACTTGGGGAAGAAATTAAGAACCAGAAACAAGGAGTAAAGCAGGAAAGAGCTTGCTTTTTACTCCTAGCTGTTTGCAACAGGAACATTGCACTGGCTGCAGCTAAAAGGAAAAGGGGCTATTTCCTCATCGACTAGTCTTGTGATCTAAAGCAGGGGTTTTCAATCAGGGGTACGCATACCCCTGGAGGGTACTTGGGATGGCCTTAGGGGGTATTTGGCAGTGGGCGCCACTGCGCCACCAGCACTTCCGCCACCACCCGTGCCGCCCACATACTCAGCTGCGGGGGACCACCCCTCTCTGGTCACCGATCAGCTGATGGGGGACCCCCTCCCCTGCTTGTCAACTGGCCATCAGGGGTACACTGACCCAAAAAGGTTGAAAACCCCTGATCTAAAGCAAGCAAAGACCTTAAGAGAACGAAGAGGTTTTTTTGATTAAAGTACACATAGTACTTAGTGCACCAGCCAAGTTGATGATTTTTGCTTAGAAAATTTGAAATCTCAGAAAGGAAGAGATTTGGATAGACAACTTCAAGATGTTTTGTACCATTAACTTCAGCATGGTGAGGTGACAAATACACTCAGTGAGGGAACTTATATTCAATTTCCTTCTGTTTTCCTGTCCTTTTTGAAGAGACAGAACATATAAAACAAAATAATATTAGTGTACTAGTCTCAAGTATTTAAATTTTAGATCCGTCTTTAGTGCAGCAAATTCTAAATAAGTTATTCATTACTAGCATTAAGAATTTACTACCCTTAGCCATGCATCCTGAAGAGGTTAGCAGAAATGTCACCATATATTTCAGTATAAACCAAATAAAAAAGTTAAAATTTTAATTTGTAGCTATGAAAGGTAATTGGATACACCGGGTTATAAATAGAGGAGTTACTGCACTCTCATTTGAATGTGTGTAGACATCCAGATTTGGGAAAATTCTGGCAAGTTTGTTTTCCTGGTAGAAAATCTTATCTGGAGATGCCGGAACAGATGTTTGATGCCAAGCCCCTGCCCAGCAGAGTTTGTATGCTGATGCTGCACAGCCAGGGGAATTCTGTGAACATCTCTCAGAGTCCTCTGTGGTCTCTCAGGAATCTGGAGAGAGGGGCAGCAGTGAACATCGGTTCAGAGTTAACCTGTCTCTCCCTGCAGCACAATGTGGAACAGGGAAGGGGGCAAGTTCTGCTCCCTAATCAGCTGGAACAGTAGAGTCCAGCAAGCAGCACTCTCTGCCCCCTGAGTGGGGCAAAGAGCAAAACACCTGGGGGATCATGCCATGGTTTCTTTCTGAAGAAAATGCATACAGACATTTACTCTCTCAGGTTAACCCTGGTTGTTCCAGGGTTATTTTTTGCTCCTGAAGCAAAAAATTTTTTTTTGTTCATTCATAGTTTCTGGGAGAATTGGTGCTCTCTCAGTAGAAGAAACTGAATGCCTGTATGTGACCCCTGTAGACACGTCCTGCCTAATCCCACAGCCACAAATGAAATCAAATATCGAGACTGAGAATTAGTAGACAAACATGCTTTTACACACAGTTTTTGCATTTAGACCTAAATGCAAGGTCTCAAAGCCATGATTTATCACTGCATAACATCTTGAAGTTTGTTTTTTACCAATAAAATGTATATTTTGTTATACTATAATAAAGTTAATTTAAGTAAAAAGAAAAAGAAATCACAGCAGCATACCCACATTCCATTCACTGATGTAAATAAAATGCAAAGACTTTGGCACCACCCTGCAGCACAAGAAAAGCTCTAATGTGGGTAATTAAGTATTGAGAAACACCAAAGCAAAAGAGTTTGCATGCAATCCAAGAAATGAACACACGCAAAATGCATAATTCTTGTCCTAGGGAACTTCTACTCTACCAATGAATTTATGAGAATTAAAGAATCAGAAATACACTTTGTTTTAGTTCAAGATTGAACAAAATCTTTAAAACATGACGATTATTGCCCCTCCTATAATTGTACAGTGCTTTAAAAGAAATGCATTGGATTCCCATAGAATTGAAGAAGAAAGCAAGAAACATTCCCAACTACATTCTTTTTTAAATAAAAGATGCTTTAAATTTTCTTTTTAATTTCTCATCTTGATAATGCCAGGGACACTTTACAGGACTATACCACAGTCCAGCTGTTTACAGAGAATGTGCTGCATATGCAAGGCTTGGTGTTCCCCTGCACTTGATTTATATGATCTTCATCCTGGAACCTCAAAGTGACAAGGCACAGGCACACTACACTACAGAAGATCTCACTGAAGTTATCACTGCTCTAAAAGCCCTGCTCATCTCTGCAATCCTGAATATACACTGCAGCCCTCCCCCCACCACCTGCTGTGATTTGTACAACTGGAACATATTTATTCCCCACAAGCAAGGGCAAGAGGAGCTTCAATAAAAAAATTCAACCAAACATGCAATACAGTAATTTAGCTGTCTTGAGATACACACCTATAGCTGTATGAAAGTGAGACAAGGCATCTGCTAGCTGTCCAGCAGCCAGTAACTTCTTGCCCATTTCAAGTTGTTTTTCTACTTCTGCATTTATTCCACATTCGGCTCCTAAGGAAATAAAAACAAAGGGGAAAAAAAAGGCAATTTTGGACCAGTTCGGTTCTAGTATAGTTGGCACTTAAAACCAAAAATGGAAAAAAAAGAAAGATTTTCTCTCTCCATAACACACAAGACATGAACTTTTAATTTTTGCTTTTCAGCAGCCATGAAGTCCCTCCTTCGCCACAGATACAGAAGCATGGGTTACATTTTCTAGTTCTCGGTACCTTGCATGTTCTACCAAATTTAGTGATCCTACAAAGCCACCTTCTTCCTTATATCTGTTTAAATATGTTAAGCCACTAAATTAAAAGCTATTGCCAAACGTACATTTCTAGCTGCCCTAGGGTCACCAGCCTATGGACCGCATGCCAGATCTGGCTCACAGCAGCTTGGGAAACCAGAAACACTTCAGTCACAGCATGAGAGGAGGTGTGTACCCAGAGTCCTACTCCTCCTGTTTCCCCTCTACAGCTCCTGCTGATCACCGGGAGAGTGGGGAGAAATGCAGCTCTCAGCAGGGATTGGGTGGTAAACAGCGACCTACAGCGGTAGAAGGTTGCCACCCCTTCCCTATGCATCTTTTGGACATACAATAGTTTGTACACCTACTGCTTTGGCCAAAAATACTCCCTTATGACAAGGGATCCAGTTTTCTCTGATAAAAACAAAATCCCCAATTTTCAGGGTAAAAAAAAGTAACCCAAAATCAACATTTTTCTGTGATCAAAATGAAACACCACTATATATACACACATCTGTGTAATCAGATGAGTTTCATTTTAAAATCACAGAGAAATGTAGATTTTGGGTTAACTTTTTTAACCCCAAAATTGGATTTGTTTTTTTTTTTTTGGGGGAAAACCAGGATCCCCACCTATAACTAGGCTGAGCACCCCCCCCCCCCACACACACACACACACACTCACTCACAACTCGTTTTCAGGACACCTATTATAATTCTCAACATCTAGCTGGAACCGGCCTCAGAAATCCGGGACTGCCCTGGCTAAACTGGGACACCTGGTCACCTTACTTGTGACTAAAGTTAAAAGCCTTCATATAAAGAATCATTCAGGACACACGGCAAAGTGAACAGGAAGAGGTCTTTTAAGTTTCATTTAACAGTCCATGTGTTGTGCTGCGATAACTTCTCACCAAGTACCCTCAGACATTTCAGAAGTTCCTTTCAGTCCTGTCATGACCCAAAAGCCCGGATCTCTCTCGGAGGTGTGCCCGTTGCCGTTCAGGCGGTCGAAGAAGCGGCTGAGAAAAAGGATCTCGGAACGCCAGCCCA